TTGGAACATCATGAAATAAGACAGCAGGGAGACGACAACAACAGCAACAACTACAACAATAACTGCATTATAAATTGCAGTAGCATCAACGACACCAACAGCTACCCCCCACACACAATAGGGTGTAGACACACACACATACACCCTGCCACACACACACGCAAACATTTCTACAATAGCAAAATCAAAATATCAACAGCAACTTTGAAAGCAACTTTACAATCAGCTACGACAACAAAATCAACGACAACAAGAACAACAAGAACACCACCCCCACCACCTCCACAAACAACACCAACACCAACATCAACACCAACACCAACACCAACACCAACGACAACAACAACAACAACAACAACGACAAAAACAACAACAACAACAACAACTACAACTACAACTACAACATGCACTGAACAAGCTTTAGCCGCTTCAGTGCTGAAGCGTTTCCATTTACATTTGTACAGGCTAGACAAAATGTTTATTCAAAAGAAATATAAATAAAACTATAAGTTTATTAATCTGAACATGGTTCTGACTGCACAAGTTACAAATGTGTCTTTTAAAATATCCTATATATAACAGTTTAAAAAAAGTCAGTGAATCATTTTGAGAGAACACTAGGGATTGCAAACGTCTTCACTGTGTTGAAAAGTGTAAGTTTTTTGAAAGGTCAAGATGTTATTCAAGTCTTATATAATAGGCCTACATCTCTTTGGGCGTCTCCTACAATTTCACAATAATTCCACTGGCCGGTAGATAGTTGGAATGCGCCACTTGTAGATCCTACTTATTTTCTTTCCCATAAGTTGGTTTTGTCTATCCATGGTATTTTTGTTTTTTTCTCAGAACTAGAATGACTTATGGTGTCGGTCTGCTTTTGTTTTCTCAAACATCAACTGGCCAGCTGTTTCAATCCAATTTTCGTTTTAGGCCCCCTCTAGGACTTACAGCTTTTCAGCCTGTTACCAAGGTACCGCCGTCATTCCACGAACTCCGTCTCCATAGATAACCAGTTGTGGATATTTAGTAGTAATGTATCTTGAGGACATAAGCAAAGGTATTCTATACCTATGCATTCTCGTTTGTTTTAGTAGGCGTTTTATGGCACTTGTAACACTATTAGGTCATATAAGGACCGAGGATTAGAGGTGTTACTAAAGAGTACCAAACACATAAAAGAAGGAGGAGAGATAAGGACGACAGATGTTTGATAGGGAATAAGGAGCAAACCAGACCAAAGCACCCGCCAACCACCCGCTAAGCATTCTCCAACCTCCAACCAGTAGGAAAAAATGCATTCCGATAGACAACGATAATCGAAATGTGTTCGAGGGAGGTATTCCGTAACGAGCGACCGCTATGAAACAGAGTAGATCTAGAATAGACGGTGGTAGTTTGGGGTTGGAGTAGGGGGTCAGGGTTAGGGGTTGGGTCTGGGTTAAGTCTTTTCTTTATTGTGTTTGTTGGAATGGTAGCTTATTACGGAAATCCTACCAGGTTCGAAACGATTGTTTTAGTATGTAAATTATTAAACGTACCTACCTTGAACATCCCGTCTTTGCGTAGAGAGGGAAGAAGCCGGTCTATTCAACGCCGTCTCCTCTGGGCCCTCCCTCCTCTTGTTTACGCAATTTAAAAAAATAATTTTCACAGCTCTAACCGGAAGGACACGTCGGGAGCTGCTGTGTCGTCAAGAGTGCCGCACAGATCACATTTTGTCCAATGTTACACGAGTGTGTTCTCGGGAAAGTGTCAGCAACAAATGAAACACGTTATTATCCAGTCGCCCCCCAAACGTGTCCAAAATGTACACCGCGTCAATAGAATGGGGCATGACATGGGCTTGTTTTGTTGTGGGAGTCGGTGTGAGCTAAGAAAAACTCACCATGTCCGGGGGCGTATGTTTTATGCTGATGTCTTTGAGTGTGTTTGTTTGTTTTGTTATTGTTAATTTTGGTTTTTTGTTTGTTTTTTGTTGTTGTTTTTTTTTCTTTTTATCAGCCCCCTATCGGCTGGTCAGTGTGCAAACCCTGTGTGTCCGTACAAAACACAAGTAGGTGAATGCTGTGTTTTTGCGACAGAAAAGGGCCGGGGGTTGGGGGAGGGGGTGGTTAGTGCACATGAACTAATGTGCGTTGTTTTTTTTTTATAATTGATGTTTCCTTGTTCTTTTATCTTTAACAAACGTTTGTTTTGCTGCCTTTTTTAAAAACTATCTTTAAACTGTAAATGTCTGCTGATTTGTCGATTCGCTAGTTGAAGCCGAAAGTTAGTGTGTACTAAGTTAAATAAAACTTCTGTTCACTGTTTTCTGTACCTGAGACCTCTAAGAAAGTGGTTTTGGCTTGCGAAATATGGTAGAGTGTTTGCTTTTTGTTATGGTGCCCCGAACACACGACTTCAAAAATAAATCCCTTAGCAAACCTCAATCCATTTTATCATTTCATTGCCTTGATGAGGTGGTGTTGATAGCCTAGTGGTAACGCTACCGGATCCGTATTGGTTTCTGGGGTTGGAGCCTCAGTTCAGTCCAACATTGTGTCCTTGCTAAAGGCACTTGACACGAATTTCCCATTTGGGTCTGTCCTTTCGAAGGTGGACGTTAAGCTCGGAAGTTTCACCTCTTAAGTGACTTAATAGTGTTGATAGAGCCTTTAAACTTCTACAATTTCATTTTCAGAAGTAGCACCGTTGTCTGTGATGTAGTGATTAGGCGCTTCTCCGTCGCACGCGGAAAGCCCAAGACAATAGTACGAGTACATATTGTAATAATTGTCATTATAGATATTTTGCGTCCCCATCGACACAATTTAGATAACTGAATAATTGAGGAAGCGGGCTGCTTGAACCCTTCCTTTTAGTGTTAACCTTGGCTAAAAAAGAACCAAATTCTTCCCCTCGACGGGAATCGAACTCATGTCTTTTGCATGCGACGGCAAAGCGCCTTACTGCTATACCATAGAGGCCAAAACATCTCCGATGAAAGGACACTTGATGAGTAGAAACTTTTTACGCCGGAATCGCCACACAATTCGGGGGCTCTCGTGGTCAAGAGGCTACGGTGTTGGCCTCTTATTCAATAGGTCACGGGTTCGAGACCTGACAGCGCCGAAAAATTTACTTCTTTAAAAAAAAACTCCTTTTGCCACCTTTCCTGCTCTCTAACCATTTTCTGCCATCTGCTTTCGTCTCCAGCCGGGCAAAATTCACTATTTATTCCTCCTACCAAACTAAAACATGTGTCCTGCGCGCTCATATGACTGTATGCTGTTGCGAGTGCCGAAAAACATTTACCACTCAATTCTACAGTCATGTAAGGTTGAACTTTGTCATTCTAAAGTAGCGAACTATTGAATGGGCAGGACTGAAGCTGAGTGACCCTTTTTTGGGTGGTGGGGGGGGGGGGAGGGGGCGTCAGCGAGGGTGGTTGAAAAAATGTGGAAAGGATAGTTGCCTATTCATGTATGGTACCTCCATGCTCAATGAGTACTGGATAAGTCCGAAGTAGTTACTTCGGAAGTAAACGAATTCTTGTCTCTCAGCTATGTTCAGGAAAAATTTGGAGAACGAAGTTTAGGGTTTCCCAAGTCAGCAGGTTTTATTTTATTTTTTTTATTTTTTTTTTTGGGGGGGGGCATAGCTTTTTGGGTGAAGGGACTAAAAGTCTAGATCTAACCCTACAGTATTGAAAAATGGACATTTAACCTGTACAGCTTCGCACATTTTTCGCCAAATGTCTTGAGCCGCGGGCATAACTGTCATCTATAGCCACTTCGACCTGTGTGTTTGTTACTATTATAGATCGTTATACGCACAGAGCTTGCTGTTGCGCTGAATGATAATAAGAAATAATAATTTGGTGGATCGTCTCTTTTTATTCCAACATTCCTCTTGTTTATTCTATCATTCCTCTTCTTTTTTTTCTATCATTCCTCTTCTTTTTTTTCTATCATTCCTCTTCTTTTTATTCCATCATTCCTCTTCTTTTTATTCTATCATTCCTCTTCTTTTTATTCTATCATTCCTCTTCTTTTTATCCTATCATTCCTCTTCTTTTTATTCAATCACCTCCAAGCCGAGTGCTAAGCGTCTATTTGAGTCTGGTATGGAGCCTGCTATTGGGCTTCAGGCTCACGTAATAAGATTATAAAAATGATTAGATGTGATGCCTTAAAAAAAAAAACCCACCCTGGTTACAAATGTGCACATTAAGTCAGGGATTCCAAATCTCCGGGGTTTTTTCAGCTTTTTCCAGTGTGTTTTTTTTTTCATACACTTGCAAAGGAAAGGGGGATGGTAAGAGAAATGTTTTTTGTTTGCTCATTTAAAGATTTTACAAAGTACGTTTTATGTGAGATGTGATGCTCCGCTCATTTTCAGGTTTTAAAAAAATCATTTGGCATCTCTGAGTAAGTTAATTATGTACGTTAAACAATGTGCTTTGTTCAGCAAGCAAAACCTTCGAATAAAGCTTCTTCTCCGACGCCTGATCTCATATTTTGTACACAACTTTAAAGAGAGAATCTACTCCTGTTGGTATTCAATGGCTTTTTGCTTGATACCCCACCCATCCCCACACCCATCCCCACACCCATTCCCACACCCATCCCCACACCCATCCCCACACCCATCCCACCCATCCCCACACCCATCCCCACACCCACACCCATCCCCAAACGTGTGCGAGATATTTGGCTTTTTTAATCAGAGAGAAGCAAATTGATACAATAATGCAAATAAGTGCAGGAAAAGGGAAAGCCAAAAATCAGACTGAAACAACACGGGGAAAGAAAAACGAAAGTTCTACCAGTAGTATTGCCCACCAACAAAAAAACCCCATGTTAACACCAGTTTGATGTTAAAGCATTATCTAGGAACAACAACAACAACACAAAAACAACAACAACAACCAACAACAACAGCAACAACAACAACAACAACAACAACAACAACAACAACAACAACAACAACAACAAAAATGACGCAGTCACTCAACAGAATTCTATTGGCAAGCTCGGTGTTTTATTGTTGGACCCGGTCATAGTAAATACATTATCTACACGATTTCTTCCTAACCATTCATTCTGTTGTTATTATTTGATAGGTAAATAAACATTATGTATACAATTCAGTTGATAGAAGTAATATAATTTTTAAAAACACATTATATACACATTTTTCTTAATCATCCATTTTGTCGCTAGTTAATTGGTCTGCCACTTTTGTGGTATGCCGTAGCAACCACAGATTTCATTTTATGTTGATTATATGCGCTTACTAATATCATGACATTTTCTTGAGAAAACGTCTTCTGGTCGGATTTTGCAGAACTTGCTTTGCTTGGAATGCACCTTGCCTTTCTGTTACAATCTACCAGTTGTCATTGTTGATTATTAGAATTGGCTCTAAAATTCCATTTCTGTTTGTTTTAAGTCTTAAGAATACTGATATGCCGTAAACATCATTACATTTATAATACTAGTCGACCATAAATGCGGCAACGTAATAATTAGGGGCATGCTGGGGTGTGGGAACATAAAAAATTCTTTCTGTATGCTCAGTGTTCACTGAACGTGGTCAAGGGTAGAAATTTGACTGGGGAAGAACGTTTGGTTGGGAGCGTGTTCTGGGTGCGGAAGAGTTCTTTTCTTACGTCTCCCGGTCCTTTCTTTTTGAGTGCGCTCTCGGCATACATCCTTTGGTTCCGGAGTCATGTGGCCGTTAAAAGAGAGCGTATTGTCGTTGGCAGCTCTGATGGCCATGTTTGTGGGATCTGTCTTCAACTTGGAGTCGTCTTCTGTGATTGTAAGCGTGTTAGTGAGTAGTTGTCATCTCTGTTCATAAAAATTTCCCCGTTGAAAATGACAGTAGACTGCTCTTTATTGTCGGCATCTTTGTGAGACGTGGTGGGCGGTTTTCTGACGGCGTCAAGCACAGGTTCTATTATTTTAGACCAGTGGTCAACATTGTCATCAGGGTTGAAATGAGGAACTTGCGGGTTCAAAAAGATCAGTCCATTGCTGCTTTTTTCACTTGGCTCCGCCCTTGTCCTGGAAATATGACGCACTTCTATCCATAGCCCTGCTACTTCTTCATTCAAGAGTGAGTTGTCTTTCAACATCTGTTCATACTCCTGCTCTAACCTCAGGACTCTGCTGTCCAACGTCCTTCGTTGTTTCTTTTTGTTTGATCGCTGTGAACTTTCGTTTTGCCTGTTCCGTGGTTGCTTCAGATGAACGTACATTTTGCTAAGTCTTGAGCCGATACCCACTCTAGTATCACGATTTGTTCTCTGGCCTGACGCCATATGGCCAGCGAAAGGGGAAGCAGAGAGTTTGAGGTCGTCTCCATCTAGACCTGACCTGGTGGGCAATTTTCTAACATCGCCGATAGAGGTCGTATTCTTCTTCGTTGGAAACCAGCTTTCAGGTTTATCCCCAGTGTGAAAGTGGATGTCTTGTGGGCTCAAAACCGGTGGCTCTCCACTGCTTCCTTCTGTCCTAGTCTCAGGAATATCGCTGTCTGCCCTGGAGGAAATGTTGTGGGAGTTGGCATTGATACCGGCATTCGGGCTAACAACACAGCCTGCTGTGGACTCTGGCGTCATGCAGCCGTTTAAACCTGAGGTAGAACATCTCTTGTCGTCTTGGGTGCTGCTGGGTGTACTCGAGGAAGTTGTTGACGGGTTGTCGTTGTCTGCTTTGCTACTGCACATTTCGCCGTTGTGGCTGAGAGTAGACAGCTTGTTGTCATCTGAAGTTCCTCTTGACATGGTGGGGGATTTTCGGACGTCGCTTGGCGCTACATCGTTATTTGGAGGCGAGCATCCGGATTTGTCCTCTAA